CAGGTCATGGGGTCGGGCCCCGGTGGTGGCACATCTTAGGGTTGGGTATGGTTGGCTGACGAGGTCCAGTAGGTCAGAAACGGTAATGTTCTTCTGCGTCTGCACATACCCGCATATATGTATCGGACGATGGGCAGTCCAAGATATATAATTTAAAGAAAAAGGAGTCCTTTTGGGAAATTTGGCAAACCTTATTATGTAACTTTTCAAGCTGGTTCCCCAGGTCGTATCTAGGCGTATAGAAAGCGTGAAAAAATAGTCAAGACTTAAACATGCACACGAAATCGATATTGCTTCGTCAGGGCTAAAATGGGCCAATGCTGTGGCCTCATATCACGTTTTGATCGGTTATAACTTCCTCCAGTTCCCTTTGAGATTTGTGTACATGACGTCCAGATCAGTACGCCGATGGATGCATGAATTATCAAAATGAATGGCCTCCCTGAAATTCTCTGCCTTTCTGATATGGGCTGGAACGGATAATGCGTGTTTTATTCCAAGCAGATTTGTGCCCAGTTTCTAGAATATGCACGGCGACTTAGGATAAGCGGTCCCGCCTCTTTAATACCAATCGGTGTTCATGTAGGCATATACAGGCTGACTTCCTGGTTCGACCACAATATACTGCATTATGGATGCCACACGGAATCTCACAGACGGCTTGCTCTTTAGCAAAATATCCAACCCTATCCTCTGGGTGTACAAACTGGTTACGCAGCCTAGTCGTCGGTTTGCACGCCACTTGTATTTTATGTTTCCTCAGGTATCTTTCGGCGAGTTTAGACACATCTTTAATGTAAAGATGTGTCCGCCAGTTTTTTGGTTTTGGTGTACGATCGAAACAATCTGGTTCCTTATCTTTTTTTCTTGATTTTCCCTGTTGCATGCTTCGGCATACAAAATCACAAGGATAGCCATTTTGGGAAAAGAGACTGGATAAATAACTATGTTCAATTTTGTTTCCTTCATTCTCACAGCAGTGTGTCTTTACCCGACCAAATAGAGTGTTAAGAGCACTCTGTTTGTGAGCGGCGTGGTGATTGCTCTCGTAATGTAGGATAACTTCCACATAATCCTCTCTGCGGCACTCTAATGCGCGGAATGTCCCGTCAGTGTTTCGCTGTCCGAGGACATCAAAAATTGGAGTTTGCCGCCGGCTTCTTTTTCTAGCACATTGACTTCCTTTCCAAACATGCTTGAAGATCATTAACTGTTTAACTTTTTTGACGGTGTGCTTTTGCTCCAGGAAGTAGTAATTGTACCCGTGCACACAAACACAAGAGCCCTTAGTGGAAGATTAGTAGGTAATTCTGCCCTCACGGGTCCTAAACCTAGTAATTATTTAACTTGCATAATCGTTACAGACTTTGATTTATGGTCGAAATTCCGAAAACAGTAGAATTTCTAAAAGGATGCCGTAAAAACTCTCGCTTCACAGACTTCAAAGTGTTACTTATAAAAGCCACAGTCAACTCGCTCACTCAAAGACAAAGTGGCTCAAATTGTACTGTTAATATAACCTCAAATACCAGTGCGAGTGAGCATTTGGGAAGCTCTGACTGCCTTTAAATAGTATCTAAGTCAACAAGAAGTCCCAACTCCTATTAGAAAACCGGGTGAAGGTATTTTAGGAAATAACATCAGCAAAACTATTTATATAAAACCCCAGTTATCCAGGCTAAAGTTTTGCACTAAATTTCGGATGACAGCAGAAAACAAAGTTTAAGCAACGACCAAATGACAGTTTAGAGGCCGTAGAAGATTTACTGACTAAAGCTCGTGCAAACTATTATACCCGCTAGATAGCGGCCCCCCCCGGCCCAGAACCTGCCAACTTCCCGCTGACAGCCCATCCGACGCAAAATGATTAAGGAGTCCCAGCTCGCATCCAAGTCAACACTTGTGCCACCGCTTACGCCGGAATAATCTCGTCCAGCGCAAAGCAGTTGTCGCCAAGAGGCTAATTTATGTGCCCAAGTAAAACCGGACATGCTACGGAGTCCTACCCAGTGCATACACAACTCGCTTGAGTTCACACCAATAGTGGCTGACAGTACGGATGCAAAAAGTCTAAATCGCTGAGCTGCCACGTCGCAACGGATAGTTAACAGCGGTAAACTCTGCGAAAGATGAGGTGTTGAGTAATTCCCTCTGACGTTTTATCGAATTTCTAGGAAGCTATCTATTAGTCAGCTTGGATATGGTTGTTTAAAGTGGTTCGGGGTGCGCTGCATCTATCCGTATGACTGGCCTATAGCCTAAATTGGAGCATACAGTTGGAGATTCGCAGTGACCCCAAGTTTGGATGGTGTTCAAAAACACTATGATCATCCGGACAAGTTTCGGTTAGCAAGAAAAGAGTGACAACAACAGCAACAGCTGGTCTCTTACTTTACTAACATTAAATCCGGGATTTTTCCAAGACCAGCATAAATGAACAGTCTTTACAAAACGAACTGACCTTTTTACAATCGTAGAGGGGCGCTCACCGATCGTTCTTACGAAACTCATTCGTCCCATTGTGCCTTACGGTCTCTCTCTCTCGAGCCCAACCAGCAGCCGCACAGCGGCGCATGATAAAGGCAGAATGTTATTGCCGATAGAGAAAAAAGGGGAACTGGAGTGGTCATTTCTGGCTTGTTGACCGTCGTCAGCCAGTCATACCCATCCCCGAGGTGTGTAACACCCGAGACTCCAACTCGCGACCTGTTAGTTAGAAGTCCAATGCCTCTAAGCACTGGGCCACGGACCCGTTGTCCTGTGGGTCACACTATTGTCACGAAAGTGTAGAGTATGAACTGCTGTATAGTAAACTTTCGGGCTATGCCTTTATAGCTTCATGGGGAATGATTTACTCAAAGTTTGTGCAATAAATTCCCAGGAGGAGTAAAAAGTCAAGGGTTCGAAACCGGTCTGTTTAACAGAAGGGACATGGTTAATGCTAGGGCCCCCATGATGAGTCATACCCCTGTCAGCTGCGTCATGGAGTGAGAAAATATCGGTGACAAGCGTATCTTGGTTTTTAATGAGTACCTTTGCCGTCATTATGGAAGATTGTACAACAAGCCCTAACCTGTAACCAAAAAAGTCTTAAGACTTGCAGTATTCTGCACTTGTTCTGTTTTCAGGGGAATTGCTCCGCAAACCATCAGCTTGAAACCAACGCCCAGTATGGAAGCCTGTCCACTGTCGAACTTAACGCCGACAAAATGTTGAAGTTGTGCTGCCTCCAACAACACCTGCTACTTTTCTAGTCCATTTTCCCGGCGTCTTTGTTCAGCCTCCCGCTACATCAAGGGAATTGGCCCGAGGAGGCGCGCTGAACCTGCGGCGACAGTCTGATGATTGTACCACACACACACACAACGACAGTTCGACCGTCGATTTCGACGATTTCCACCGTGTGCCCCACAGACTGCATTGTGGGAGCAGGGACGGTGACTTGCGCAGGGGTTTATAGTGCCAGTAGACTTGCGCTGCATCTACCTACACTCTCTCCTCCTCCCCCGCCTGGGCCCGGTGTCAAGACAGAGTCAAGAAGACCGGAGACGAGGGAGGCCGCAGGTGGGTGGCTCGGACGGAACCTCGCCTTGGCGCTCCAATCCGCACCCCCTGGTCCACACACAAATGACCAGGATTTTGACCACAAAACAATGGGGTGGCGGCAGTGGTCCAGTTGAGCGACGAATGCCGACAACAGGGTCCGCCAGTGCACCCCGCAAATGTTGGCACTTGTTATTGCGCACAGATAACGCCTGCCAGAGTCCGATGTGGCCCCCGTGTTGGTCCAGCGCATCTAACACGTGGCCCGTTTTGAGGGCACTGGCCCGTTTTGAGGGCACATACTCACACACACAGGGAAGTTCGACCGTCGATTTCGACGATGTCCACCGTGTGCCCCACAGAATGTATTGTGGACCAGGGACGGTGAGTTACGCAGGGGTTTATAGTGCCAGTAGACCTGCGTAGCATCTACCTACACTCTCTCCTCCTCCCCCGCCTGGGCCCGGTGTCAAGACAGAGTCAAGAAGACCGGAGACGAGGGAGGCCGCAGGTGGATGGCTCGGACGGATCCTCACCTTGGCGTTCCACTCCGCACCCTCTGGTCCACACAACAATAACCACGATTTTCACCAACACAACAGAGATTTGGAGGCTGGCACGACCGGAGTCGCGCCTGAGCGTGTCGCCAACGCCTGGCTCGGATCCCACACTGTGATGGGAGTGCCATAAAGGCCACATTAAAAAGGAGCCATTGCAGCCTGACTCTCAGACCGCCTCCAGTGAAGGAGGAGGTCCAAGTTACCCCGTCAGTTGGCAACCTTCCAATCCACGGCTTTTAGCGCACCGTGATAGCTTCAAGCGCGTCAGATTGTTTATAGTGAGGAGAAAGTGCGCTGAGTCGTCGACCTCACTCTCCCTTCCCACTCCCACACCTCAGCCGCTGTCCGAGCCGGTCAGCAGACTGGAGTGGGGAATGGGCGCGGTGGCTGTCGCGGTCGACTGACCATGACTGCGCTCGCCACGGCACGACCTGGCCCCCCATACACACACAAACACCAGGATTTCACACAACGGGGGTTGAACGGCGTGTCTCTCGCTTGCGTGAGAGTGCCGTGGAAGGTGCTGTTCCAGCCCGTCCCCAGCCCACCAGTCCGGCACTTCACACAACACACACAACGCGACGAACTGCGTGTACCGAGAGCGGGCGTCAATCAGCAACCTTCCCATCCACGACGCATGACGCGTCGGGATAGTCTCGGACTCAAGTCACCCGTGCATCCGAAACCACATGGGGACCGAGTCGAGATGCACACTTCCCACTTGCGTGGTAGATGGCAGTTGGGTGCGTGCGATGGGTGCGTGTTAATGGGTTGTGGTGATGGCGGAGGAAGGTAGGGAGTGTGTGAATGTCTGGTGTAGCCACCGGTTGTCTACCGCAGGTCGTCGTGGATGCGCATGTGGCCGAAAAGACCCATGCGGTGCCTGAAAGTGCGAGGTCACTGTGGGCAGTTGAGACGAGCGTAGTGGGTGTAGGTTGGTGCTCCAGGTACTGGTTCGCCCGTGTCTGTGCGATGGATTCGCAAGTGACCGACCAGGCCGATGCGTGACGTGAATGTGCGTGAACACTGTGGACATGAGAAGTCGACGGTGTCAGTGTCAGCTACAGGGAAGGCGGTGGTGGTGGTGGTGGTGGCGCAGACGAATGGAGTGAGTGTGGGGGTGTGCACGGTCGATGTGTTGGATGTGTTGGGTGTGTCGGGAGTGCGGTCCATGCCGCTCTCGTGGATGCGCACGTGGCCGAATAGACCCATGTGATGCCTGAAGGTGCGAGGGGAGTGTGGGCAGTTGAGTCGAGCGTGATGGGTATAGGTTGGTGCTCCAGGCACTGGTTCTCCAGTCTCTGTGCGATGGATTCGCAAATGACCGACCAGGCCGATGCGAGAGGTGAATGTGCGTGGACAGTGTGGGCATGAGAAGTCGGCGGTGTCAGTGTCAGATACAGAGGAGGCGGTGATGGTGGTGGTGGTGGTGGTGATGGGCGCGCATTGCAATGGTGCGAGGGTGGGACTGGGCGTGGTGGACGTGTTTGATGTGGTGGGTGTGTCGGAATTGTGGTCAGTTCGGCATACACACACACACAACAGTTCGACCATCGATTTCGGTGATGACCATCGTGCGCCCCACAGCAGAGGTGGGAGCAGGGACGGTGACTTGCGCAGGGGTTTATAGTGCCAGTAGACTTACGCTGCATCTACCTACACTCTCTCCTCCTCCCTCGCCCGAGCCCGGTGTCAAGACAGAGTCAAGAAGACCGGAGACGAGGGAGGCCGCAGGTGAATGGCTCGGACGGATCCTCACCTTGGCGTTCCACTCCGCACCCTCTGGTCCACACACAAATGACCAGGATTTTTACCTCCACAACAATGGAGGGCGTGACAGTGATCTCAGTTGTGTGACGGCTGTCGACTACAGGGACTGCCAGCGCACCCCATGCTTGTTGACATTTGATATTGCGCACAGATAGCGCCTTCCAGAATCCGATGTGGCCCCCGTGTTGGTCCAGCGCGTCTAACACGTGGCACGTTTGGGTGGCACACACACACACACACACACACGGCAGCTCGACTGTCGTTGCCGACGATGTTCGCCGTGTGCCACACTGAAAGTTGTAGCGGAGACGGCAACTTGTATGTGATTATTTTTCAGTGAATTTAGACTTGCACAGCATCTACCAAACTCTCTCATCCCCCATCTAGGTTTGGTGCTAAAACAGTCAAGAAGATCGGAGACATGGGAGTGAACACACACAATAACACACACATACACACGAAATTTCGACCGTCGCCACCGACGAAGTCCACCGTGCGCTCACAGCAAGGTGCCAGCAGGCATGCTGACTTGCATGTGAATTATCTTACGGTGGGAGTAGACAAGCGCTGCATCTACCGCACTCTCTCCCGTCCCCACCCCAACCCGCTTTCAAGAGACAGTCTGGAAGACCGGAGGCGAGGCGGAGCGCAAGTGACTGGCACGGCCAGCGTCGCACCTAGGCGTCCAGCGGCACCCCGTAGTCCACAACAAACACTTGACTGGGATTTTATCTAACAACAAAACCACAACGGGTCAGAACGACGAGGATGACTGAACAGCCATGCTCACGACCTGCGTACCCAGCGGGAGCGCAAGCGCACCTCCCCGCGGGAAACTAGGTGTCAGAACTGCCAGCCCACAATAGGCTGCGAAGGGCATGGTTTGCTGATGCTGGCGTAGGAGATGCTTACTTACTTGACGTACACCCACCCACACACACAAACACGGCAGTTCAACCGTCGTAACTGAAGAGGTTCACCCTATGCTTCACGGGGGTGCGGAAGCAGACGCGATGACTCGTGCGTGATCTCTTTTATAGTGACAGTAGACTCGCATGGCATTTACCGCTCTCCATTCTCCTCCTCCTCCTCTTCTTCCTCCTCCTCCTCCTCCTCCCCACCTGGGTCCGGTGTCCAAATACAGTCAAGACGATCGGGCGTGGGAGAGGGCGCAGGTGGCTGGCGTGGCCGGGACCGCATCTAGGTTTTCTGCCATACCCGACACAGCCAAGCAATCAGGCAATCACTGACGCCTACGCCCCACTTGTAAATGCCACCCCCTAGCCGGTAGAACACAGACCACTAGACACACCACTCCTCTGGCAAGGCAACAGACACTCCACCTGGACACGAGATGCTTGAACACGATCCCGTAGGCCTACTAAGACGGCCAACAACACACTCACTGTCTGTCTGGCGCAATTGAACTCTGCCAGTACACGCTCTGGCCTCGCCAGCGACCGCTGTTGCCCGAAACAGCAACTCTGGTTTTTCAACAGAACAGACTTCTACAGAACACGGATATAAGAATCCCTCTCGGACTTTAAAACCGAACCCCAATCATAACTCTTATCTTAACCATAACGCTGACTCCAATCCCTTGAAAGCTAGTACAAGGCCGCTTGTTACTGTTATGTTCTAGTCGTATGCGTTCTTCGATAATAGTCGTTTCAGAGCAGTTCTCGAATAATTAACTTGAATAGAGCTTTAACTGTTATGTTGCCCGTATGTCACGACCGCATTGCGTCGCTGTTTCAAAACAAAAACCCTGTTGAATTTAGTTACACCCAGGTCGCCTTTTCTTGGTTTTCCCAAGCCTGGAGCGGAAGCTTAATAATGACAAGTAAAGGTCTGAGAAAGCTTGACCCGATTTGTATGCTAATATTTAAAATCTTATGTGCGTACTGAATGGATATGTTTGACACTGAGTTCCGACGCATGTGGTCCTACTAAACAGGACATGGGAATAGGTACGGGCTGCTCAAGTAATAAATGTGTACCTGCGTATTATTCCGAAAAGGGCAGAATATTCTTGTGTTCTAAACCCCAACAACAACATTAATAAAAAACTCAACCATGGTCTTTATCCTGGCCCTAGCCATACCCTAAACTTCAGCTCTGTAGTTGACACTAACCTCTTCCTTAATGCTTAACTTAATCCCAAGTCACCTCACCATTGACTTCAAATATAGCTTTAAGCCTAATCTTTAACCTAAGTATAACCCTAGCTTTACAGCCAACCCTAAGTTCACCGGAAATTAGCAGGCGGTTTCTGTTGTCGTGTCCTCTTTAGTCAGTCTTACATTGGATAGGACTGCAAGTAAGGTGTGCTGGGTGAACGATCCTTTAAGTACCAGCTGTAGATAACTAGAACCCACAGGTGCTCAGTCCGACTAGTCAGGACTTGTTAGGTGCGCTGGACCAAAACGGGAGTCATATCGGATTCTGGCAGGCGTTATCGGATTTGCGAACCATAGCAAATGCGAACATTTTGGGGGTGCGGTGGCGGACCCGGTTGCTGGAAGACGTCGCGCACACTGGGATCCCTGTCACTCCCATTCCTGTCGTAGGCTAAAATCCTGGTCATTTGCTGTGTGGACCAGGGAGTGTAGAGTGAAACGCCAAGGTGCGGGCTCGACCGTGCCATCCACCCGCGCCCTTCCCGCCTCCGGTCTTCTTGACTCTGTCTTGACAACGGGACCAGGTGGGGGAGGAGTAGGAAAGAGTGCGGTAGATGCTGCGCAAGTCTACCATCACAATAAACTGTATTTTCGCACGAGCCACCGCCCCTGATCTCATCCTGCTGGGGAGCACACGATGGACATCTTCGGCAACAACGGTCGAACTGTCGGTTAGTCAGAACACAACGTTTCTGAAGTAAATCGATTTAAGATCAAGTAAGCGGGACACCCCGCCGGCTTTTCGCGACTGAAACGAAACATGAATAAAAAAGAGCCAGCTTCCGCTGTTGGTGCTCCATTTTTTTCCTTCGCATCCACCGATATGTCTTCTTCCGTTTTATGACAGTAAACTCACTAAGCTGTCAGCTGAAGGTGACTTTCCTTTGTTCTTTATTCGGGCTATATTTGATGCCACAGTCAACTTGCTGTTTCCGAGCGTTCTCGAGAGGAAAATGACCGCCTTGAGGACATTTCCTACGAACTATAATGGAATTCGCCTGTGTAGCCTGGGCTGGACCATTTTCTTTTAGGGACTTGTTGGCGCCTGCGGCTTGTCCCACGGTGAGATCAGATCGTGGACTGCGAACATCTTCGACCAACAGGACCGTGCTAGGGCGTTGGACTTAAGACTCTCAGTAGCAAAAAGAATCCGTGTTCGAACTCCAAGTCTCACCTAAACGCCTGACGAAGACGAACAAGCCTGAAGTGGCCATTTCAGTCCCCCATGTCTCCGTCGCTACTTCCCGCCGTGTAGATATTTTTTGTCGTCTGCAAGCTGCGTGCACGGGGTATAGATTGTGCCCAAAGGGGCAACGGGACGAGAACCGCCCCTAGCGATGGAAGTACTTCACGCGATATCAGTGATCTCCAATTATGGTCGCTTGAGGTCCTGCTTTTGGTTATTCTCAAAGTAACCAACCCCGATTCAACTCGGACAGCTTCCACGAGTATGGGCTGAACATAGCCACCTAAAACCTCAAATCTATTTGAAACTTTCGGTCACATGTGACTATGTAGCCCCAGTTGAAGAAAACAAGCCCCAGCCACCAGTAATACGGAACAGGAGGTAATAGGGTTTCTACAGGCGGGGCGGGGAACGCACCGGCGACGAGGTCAAGTAATTGTATGCAAAAGAAACGCAATTGAAAATTCGCGGTCACACTTTGAGTGATTAAGAAGTAGTTGCCCCAATCCTTTACCCAAATCCTAGCTTCCAGCTCTAACGCTAACCCCTAACGATAACTCTGACCCCTAACTCTAACCCTTAACCCTAACGCCTAGCCATTACATCTAACCCAACCCTAACAGTACTGCGTTCATCATGTGGGGCTACATAAGCATATCTTACCAAACTTTCATGTCCTTCGTAAGTAAACGCTTCTTGGATTTCGTCAAAGCCTATCACCCTACTGTATTTGTTAATTGTAGCTAGGACAATTTCAAGGAGCAGCAATTACTCCAGAGACGTAAATTCAGGTCGATTCAGTGAAACACCACCTCTGAACTAATTTATTTCGTATTGCGGATTCTCTGAGCAATCTGGTCGGTTATCGCAAACTCCTGAACATCTGTCACGTCAATTTGACGGTAAATCTGGTACGTGAATCCTTAAAGGCATGCCTTTTGCGAGGCGAAACGCCAGTCCTGGGAGCAGCACCAAAACGTCTAGAAGAAAATGCATGCACGGCTGCATGTTGACTTCGTGGAGGTCAGGTTTTTAGCAGGTGACCTCCCTTCTCAGTATTCTGTGCTCAGAGAGGTGTTTTCCCCAGGAAGTTTGCTTTCTATAATGTTACTGGATTTCAGGTCAGCTGGGTGAAGCCCATACTGTATTAACTTACCCTGTGATGACTAGGACTGTGTTGGAAAAAGGAGCATAAAAGTGATTTCATGGGAGTAAAAGACAAGATGGGTGACGTGGAAGCTTTATTGTGTTCAAACTGCCACCTAACAGCGGAAATCCGCTGAGGTCGCTGCATAGCCGCCACTTTGTTGACCCAGCCGCCGCATATCGCATTTGATCCCTCGCAAGTCGAGGATGTTGCCAGGCTAGGTAAGTCGCGTGAGTGAAAAACGCAGGTTCATATCACGTGCAATGCGCGACAGTGTGTTTTTCACATTTGGGTAATTTCTTGGGCTAGAAACACCAAGTTTCTCATTCTAGGTTTCTTTATTACTCGCCTTCCTCAAACGTATCTTGAAACGAACCTGCGGCCATAACGACCCCCGCTGCATAAAATAAAACCGCGCAAGTCTAAAAAATCATGCTTTTGGGGAAATAAACAAATCGGGGGCAGTTTTACTCAACAGCAGTCTTGTCAACACCGGCAGAATTCTGAGCAACAGGCGACGTTCGTTACGGACTGTAGTCGGCGTGAAATCCGTTCTTCAGCTTGACCTAAGACCACCAATTGCATTTTTACCTTTGTGTTCACTAAGAGCAAGCAAGGTTGTATGTTAGCGAAAATGGTAGAAGATTAAGGTAAGATCCGCCTCACCCTGGCAAATCACTCGTCCTTCTCAGATAAAAATTAGATAAAATAAACAGATACATCAAATATCAAATGTAAAGTTTGCCGAACGCTTACGACCCCATTTTGCCGAGTCACTTTGACAGCAGAATCAACTTGGAGGTCATCAGTCCACGAGCGATCGTTAGAAACGGAAATAATGAGAGGTACTGCGAAAAAAGGAATAAGATGCGTTTCGAAATATACATTTTACGATTTCCAGCAACATCAAACTCTCAAATCTCCACAACCTAGAAAGTAAATGAGCAGCTGCCGAGAGCAGTGGGAAATTGGTCAGATGTGGTTATGTGGCCGCACCTGAAGTAAACAAACCACAGCCACCTGTAATACGGGACCGATGGTAATATAGGGGTTTTTACAGGTGGGGCCGGGCAATGCACAGGCAACGAGGAAAAGTAATTTTATGCAAAGGAAAAGCTAATGGAAGTGCGCGGTTGCACGTTGAGTGGTGAAAAAATTGTTGCTTTAACCCCCAACCCAAAAACCTAACTCCTAACCCTAACCCATAGCTCTAACCCTTAACCATAACCCCTGACCCTAACCCCTAAATCTGATACCTAACACTAACCGTGATCCCAAATCCTAAGCCCTAACTCCTAACCCCCGTAACCCAAATCCCTAACCTAAAACCCTTCAATCCTATCCCTAACCCTAACCCCGAAGCATCCAACGTGAAAGTTAGAAGAAAATGGCAGGCCGAAAGTCGAGAAGGACAACTGACATTGGACCGAAAACGGTAGAAACGGCAACAAGGAAACCAGGCGACCAACTAAACACACACCGCAACTCACAGCAACACCATGCCAACGAAATCACACAAACTCAAAATGATTAGGTAGGTCAACAGTATTGTGTCAATCAGGTGCGACGACATGACCACATCTTATCGAATATTCTGTCCGTCTTGTCACCAAAAGGCCATTACTGGCACTAAAACACAGAAAGGCCGTAGGGATGTCATACGCACACGCAAAATGCAATTTAACAA